AGTCCCTATTCTCAGACCTATACTCCTGCCTTTCCTCTTCTCTCTCTGTCTACGAATCCTTCTACCTCCTCTCCTTCTTCGACCAACAGTAGTCCAATTTTCACCAGCACCCTGTAGGTCAACAGCACTGGTGGCGGTCGTTGTTAACCCGGGCCTCGACCGTTCAGTATGGAATTCACACTGATGATTTGCATGTTTAAGTTTGGCATGTTTTTACATCGGATGCCCTTTTTTTATTTCTTTTCCTAATGCACATTCCCTTGCTTGTTGACATGTACTGTATGTACACATTGAGAGCCGCCTTACCAGAGTCAAATTCCTCGTGTGTCCAACACACCTGGCCAATAAAGCTGATTCTGATTCTGATATGTGTTGTGCTAAATGCTATAAAATGTGACATCTTATTTCTCAGAACCTTTTTGCTGCAGACCATTTTTTACTATAAAGTGGTTTCTGGTTTCAGTTATTTGCACTAATGATAAAAGGGATATACGGCAATAATAAATAAATGAGTTTATGTTCCATATTCACACAAAGTTTTTTTTCACTTTGTACTTTTTGAGGACAGTTAACTTCTTCTGCTGAAGACATTTCATCACTAGGGGTCTTAGAGGACATCAAGGGAAAACAGTTTTAATATGGAACTGAATACACCTGCTATAAAGCTAAATGCCCTTGTTGCATAAACATCTGGTATCTTACCAAATGCAATTACAGTTATTGCATTGGACCTTTTAAATAAAGTTTTTAAAACTCCATTAGCAATTAAAGTTTCATGTTAACTTTTGGCTCAAAGCCAAAATGAAAGATTTAATTCTACAGGTAATGTTAAAGGGTTTTCTTGAGACTTTGCAAACTGATATCATCTTGCAAAAGAACAGTTTGACTCAGCTGGAATTTGTTGCAGTCTGATAATGACTGCAGTTCTCTTTGATGGATACACAACACAGTTTTTCCACTGTCAACATGATGCAGTGACAGATCTGCAGAAACATAACCTGTATGTACACAACACACAGACACACACACAGGTCTACCATACCTAAGTGTGTTTAACCTTGTTAGTAAGTGTGTAATGTGTGACTGACAGGCACGCTGACACTCACACAAACTGTCTTATCCTATAAGGAATGTTTGCCTGCAGCTTGTCTTAAGACTATTTCAGCATCCTGGCACTGATGTGAGGAACATGTTCGTGCAATAATGCATCACACCATATTCCATACTGACAGACAGCAACAATTGATGTAGTTTACATCAAGTCCTCCACTGCTTTTATAAGTATACACATCCTGCTGTTGAATGAAACACTAAAATTTATGTACATTTATTTACAGGTAAAATTGTTAGTGTAATTTGGTGACAGACTAAAGTGTGGTGTTTTCCAAATAATGAAATGTTGACCGGTCACTACTCATGGATTTTTTTACATGGGTATGTTTGTTATTTGTCAAAAATGTGTTTCACCTTTGAAGTGGAGAGTGTTGTTTGATGCACACAAGAGCAAACCTTTATTACCTTGGTGTCACTCACTTTCTTTTCCCAGCTTTGCTCTGAGTATAACTCTCTCTTTTTCTTTCTTCACTCCTAAGGAAGCGTCAGCTGCAATTCCTGTTGGAGGGGCGTGGCCGGCGGGCAAGGCTGAGTCCAGAGGAGCTGCGAGACAACGGGAAGCTCCTGGGAGAAGGCCTGAGCAGAGCGCTGTTCAACTACCCAAGCAGAGACAGCAGTGCAGAAAGTCCTGAGGTTGGTTCTGTTTTTAAGCATTTTCTTATTTTTTTTTTAAACATCTCGGTGGCTTGAGAAACTCCAGCAACTCTTGTAAAAGACTGAATTGCCACATCAACCCATTTGACTACTAAAGGCCAGCACAGCATTGTTGAGTTGAACAGTAATCTTCCCCTATACCTTAACCTGTATGACTTCTTAAAAACACTCAAGTCTCTTATATGGGTTGTCATTTCCCTCACTTGCATCTTTACCTTGTGTCTTAGTCCCACCCATTTAAAATGTGAGGAAAAAATGCAAGAAAAACAGCGAAAAGAGTCTCGAGGAACCACATTATTAATGACATGAGACAGCCTTTCCTCTTGTCTTTCATCTGAAGTGTCCAATCTCTAACTGATTTCTGATAAAGGGGCATGTAGGTTCATAAAACACTTCGGTGTAGGATGGTCTCAGGTATCCTCGTTCATTCCTCCTCCAGCTGATTAAGCTGGTTATAGCTGATGCTTCTGTGGCATACAAAGCTCCACTGTTGCTCTTAAACTTTTGACATACTTAGGTAATACAGCTGCATTACAGTGCCAGATTCTTTTATTTTTTAAGGTTTCTTTTACTCATAAATGCATAGTTCTGGCATAACATGTAAAAGTAGTGCCCATTTTTTATAAGAACATCTGTTTCAGCTGCAAACCAACTTAATTCTTTCTTTTTACTGCATGGTATTTGGAAGCTTTAACTAGGAGACTGTAAGCATTTTTGGTAAGAGTGATATAGTGTATTGTATCATTGCTATGATGATAGAAAATTAAGCTTATTCTTAAAGAAGAGAGGGGAAAAAGCTTTCTATTCAGGAGCACGGGGTACAAGTTATGCAGGGGTGAGACATTTAATGCTGTTACACAAGGTCAAGCAATGTGTATCAACCATTTTGGTCTCACAATAGTACATACATGTTTGTGACAACACTGGCACGCACACCCTTAAAAATCAATACCCTGCTCAGCAACTACATTAAACAGGTTTAATACTATGCACTTAGATAGCTTCATTTTAAATTATGATACGTCTAATGTTTGCACTATTTGGTAGTTGCTTAAGGCCTAAGTCAAATACTCCAGAGCCACACTGTTGAAAATGTAGCAAAAAAAGCTTTTCTCTTTCCTTTTTTGATTTTCCTTCCAGTGCACCTCAATGTAATTTTAACAGTCAAAGTAAATCAACATGAATGACATTCCTTTCTTTTCCTCACAGGAGGGCACTGTGGAGTCATCGGAGCGTGCTGCCATGGTAGAGCAGTACATCCAGGAGGTGGTTCAAAGAGCATCAGACACCAATCTGAAGGGTGAGGTTCTTCACAAGCTCTGGCCCTCTATATTTGCAGAGATGGTGAGAGACTGTGTGTTGGAGATGAGGGACCGAGCAGCCTTTCGCCAAGCCAGCCTTGCAAAGCTGTCCAGTACCAAGTGAAGAGGGCCAAAGGCTCTTAGTACCCACGCACACGGACATAGTTTTCCAAGGAGCTTCCAGTCCACCTCTGATTTCATCTCCCATCACTTAAAGACTTCATCAGTTATTAATGCATTTGGAAACAGAAAGGCATATTTCCCCAGTGTGTGGGAAACTCTTTCTTAAATTGTAGACTGTTTAAAGATGTCTAGAGGCTTTGTCGTGACAAAGGCATTTTGATTGAATGTAGATTTTCATTGAAAATACAGTATGATTTCAGTGCACAGAGCTGTAATATACTTGAAGAAAGTTAAAGGGATTTATTAATTCATGGTTCACTGTGGACCCTACACAGAATCCTCTGCACTTTAAAAGCCTTCTGAATGACTCCTCCTCACCATTACTGGCATCAGCTGAAAACAACTAGTGTCTCTTTTCTCAAGACTAGAAAGTTTTCTCTGTCTTAAAAGTATTGCTTTCTCACTTTCTCCTGCCTGACATAAAAACATGTACAAACAAGGACAAGGACTTTTCTTTATTAACACTGATTTTATGTATTGTTCACAGTATTAAAAGATTCTGTATTAACACACACAGTTTGTATACAAGGTTTGCATGATTATTTTTCTTTTTCTTAGAGATCTGTCTACATGGGTAAAGCAATTGCACCTTTCTTTAGTCTTGCATGAAATCATTTCAGATCAGTTGTTTTTCTTATGTGCAAGCATCCCCCTGTTCCTAAACATGAGCCCATCTCTGCAGCATTTTAATGCTCATCTCTTCCGGTTCCTCAATCACTTTAAGTGCACAGTTATCAACTCAGAATCAGAATCAGCTTTATTGGCCAGGTGTGATGGACACATGAGGAATTTGACTCTGGTACATCGGCTCTCAATGTGCAAAACAATAAACCAGCATAAGGCTGTGTAATATAACAAAGTAGGGGTATTAACATCAACAAACAGTGCAAACAATGCAGAAAAAGCAAAATAAACAGACAGTAAACAATGCAGACAACAAAGGAATGTTCATTGAAATGAGATAAATAGGGATTTAGTGATATTGTGTTAAGCACTTTGGTCAGCTTCGGCTGTGTTAAACGTGCTATAAAAATAAAGTTGATGATGATGATGATGAGGGATAAAACAGAGTACTTAAGAACTAGAGACCTGTACAAGTCTGTATATTCTGTACAAGGTATATTTACAGGTATTGCACTGAGGGTTATTGTCCAATTATACTGTTGTGGGTTAAGTGTTGTAATCCGGGATGAGTTGCACAAGACCAAGAAAACAAAGAAAAACAAACACAGGAGAGCGTGAGTAACCACGGTCGCCATCGCTGTCGGCGCCAGAAGTATCTCAATACATTACAACTCCTCGTGGACACTGGTTTCCTGTGAAGTAGAAGTTGTGGGTTTACTAGAATTTTCAGAAACCGTTAAGGGCCCACTGGGTAAGTATAAAAGTCAAGCTGGAATGTTACTGCACCAGTTACTCACCACCTGCTCCTGCTTCCCTCACTCAGATCGCACAATATTTGAACCCTTTTTAATCAGGCATGTTGGTGGAGAATACAGCACCAACCTGCAGGGGGATGGAGTGTTAAACAACTACACACATACACTCACATCCTTGTTTTTGTCACTTACAAGATCTCTACATAGACCTATAGTACCGTACATTCATCAAATCACATTCACAGTTTGTCTGTTTTGCTACTGAAAATCTGTTCTATGCTATTGTTTATTAATTATTGGTTACAATAATTAGCCTCTCACCCAGCTGGGATAGGCTCCAGCCCCCTGGGACCCTATTCAGGAATAAGCGGTATAGATGATAGATGGATGGGTGGCTACAATAATTACTTCGCAAAAGAATCTGACAAAATTACAGTGATTATCACCCCAACCTGCATACCTGAGAAAACACAAGCCTGACACTGTGTTTGGAGGTTAGTGGGCTCTTTGGTCTATGTTGAATCTGTAGATACTGACTCTTATTACCTCCGCCCAGGGCAAGGGTCATGTTTTTGCCATGGTTTGTTGGTTTCTTCACAACATAACTCAAAAAGTAATGGATACATTTTGATTAAATGTTTTGGGCCCATGGAGAGGGCAGAAAATTGTACCAGCAGCTTGTGAGAAGTGCCTGTACGCAAGAAAAGGTCCCGGTGGATACCAGGTCACTTCGAGCACTGCTTTTAGGTGTTGCCTAGCACCATTATGTGGAAACTGAGCTACGTACCTTGGTTGAGGTTTGCACTCTCTGAGTACTGTCTAGTAATGTTTTTGTTTTTAGGAGCTTCTGAGTGGCCTCAGAGGTCTGGGCAGTATTTCAGAAAGCAGATTTAACAAACTCTGAAGTTAACCCTGACCTCTGAGTTGACAAACCCAAACATGGAAAACTCTGGATTTTCAGTATCAGAACAGCTGATCAGAGGTAGTTCACTCAAGTCTGAGTATATTCAGTCTTAGCTAAGCATGTGTATGATGATTATCAATCAGCCATCATCAATGGAGCACCAGTACTATGATTCACCGCGGCAATGGGTAAATAAAGAGCACAGCCACCATTTTCATCCAGTGGAGTTAGAAATATTGATGCATGATAATGCACATTTATCTTTAAAATACACAGTATTGCAATGAAAGAGCCAGGATTGGTACCATTCTTACTGTTGGTGACAGTGTTGTGCTTGAAGGACTAGGCTGTATTTTGTAGATCACCCTCAGCATGGGAGGTGTCAGAAGAGAAGAAGCAGGAATTGAGCAATTATACCCTAATACTGTATATCTGTGTGGCAGTTCCAACGGTGGCCAAACATGGGCTCCGGTGGTTCATTAGCTGAGTGAGAGAGCCATAATTCACAGTACTCAGAGCAGGCTAACGTGGGTAGATGGTCAATCGCAGATGGCATATTGCTCACCCACTGACAAATCTCAAAGCCTCCTTTGGCGTTGCAGGACATAAATTGCACTACAAGTTGTCCCAAAAGTCATGACTTGCCACTCATACATAGTAGGTTCTCCCTCCTTGAGATCTCTCCAGAAGAAACATAGGAGTGGCTTGTCTGCTGGAAGAAGGTACACCTGATGAAATGTAGCTTTAATGTATTGAGTAACTGCAACCTGCTGCTGCATGAAGTGGAGAAGCACACTGCGTAAGAAAAAGTCTTTGACAGCCATTCCTAGGGGAAAGTGGCTAGGCTCTGTTGGAACCACTATGTGTGGATGATCAGACATACCTTGTTAGGCTGAGGTAAGGTTAAACCCCTGAGATGAGGGTAATGCTGTTGTAAAGCTGCAGTCGGACAAAAGCATTCCATCAGATTCAGTTGGACTTCTTTGATAGGTCTGTACCTGGTGATGTATAGAAGCTTACTGTAGCTCCGTTTACTTACAAAACATTGTCTAATGGTTTGAAATCTGAGGACCTCCGGGTCTCCCTGGAGACTGAGATGGTTTGCAGCTGCCTTGAAGATGTTAGATCTCTCTGAGCCATCAGTTTGTTTGCCATGGCTGTGCAGAACCACTGGGACAACCTCTAAAATAACAAGAAGATCTGTTAGGTGTATAGCTGGTACTGGCATGCTCACCATAATGCATGTGCTGTCTGATGGAATGGTGTCACGTAGAGTGGTTAGGTGTAGCTTATTGCAGACTCCACAGAGCTTCTTTAGTGTGCAGGCCTCTGGAGAATGACTCTTGCAACACTTCCAACACCGATTATTCTTCTGTATCCAAGACAATCTCTCAGAAGCATTGAGCTTGGAGAATGCAGGATAGCTGGTGGTCTGAAAAAGGCTGCATTCATGCAGCACAACACACCCTGTTTACTGTGTATTCCAAGTTTGTCTGTTTAAATTTCCATCACCATATATCAGTCAGAAGGTTTGCATTTACATTGTAGTTTTGCAGTGCTGCATTTACTGACCAAACAGACTACAATAAACAGTAGCCCATGCAGTGACTAAAAGAAGCAGTCTATAACTAAGGGAAACGATAATATAGCCAAAAGCTTTTAGTCAGACATAAGCTCAGAGAATCATTAGTGGAACCTTAATGAGGAACTACTGAAATAAGGCATTATACTATATTTATATATTTAAAATGCAAAAAGGGACTCAATTTGCAACTATGGTTGTTAGGTTTGGGACAGTTAAAAGCAGGATCTGGTAGAGATGTGGGACACTGAGAGAAAAACATTTCTGCCATCATTCCCACCTCCTTCTTCCACCATAGAGTGAAGACACCTTTCTACACGTTTTATTTATTTTTATTTAGACACCAGTGCCTTAACACTATAGTAAAAGTCTGATGTTTAGTCTATTTACAAATTATGTATTGATTATAGACCAACATTACCCAAGAGTAACTGTACCATAACACAACTAGAAATATGTACAGTATGGTGGTGTGTAGTAAACCTGTATAGTGCAGCCAAATTGGTAAACACTAAGTGCATTTAACAGATGTCACACTTCTGTTTATGAAATGCTAAAAAGTCACGTGCTTGTGCCTGTTGTGTCCAGAACATCTGTCTGCAATTTGGAGCTTTAGCTTCACTTTAGATAATAAATGAAATCATTTACCTGTTTGTGGCTCCAATTTAGACATCTGGTGTCACTGAACTACTGGGACTGATCGTTTGTTAAACCGCTGCATTCTCTCAAGCCCTCTTCCATACGCAAACATATCCGAGCGTGCCACTCACACGCTGGAAAGGAGGAGATACATACGTACACATTTACATGCCACCCACCCACTCACCTACGCACACAAAGAGAGTAAGTTGCGACAGAGCGCAAAAGAGGTTGTTTTCTATTTGTTGTTTTGGCTTCCAGTGTTGTGTCATTCTACGTCTGTGCGCTAAAACAGACCCGCCGCAATCACCATCATGTAACCAAGGTCCAGAGTTTCCCTTGCGCCAGGATTTAACTGACAACTTTGGATATGGATTCACTGACTTACGAGGCTTAGCACCAAGGTTCTGGGGAAACCTCCATAACTCCACCTGAATAAATGTTTCGACAATGAGGATACCTGCGTTTGGATTCTGATCAGAGGATAGACGACTTAGAAAGTTCAGTGAAGTAGCAAAAACTTCACCATAACCGCATCAGTAACCTCCAGGTACTGTACGTTGCCAGAGCGATATGTGGGCTGTTATTCTTGGTAATTTCACTGCAACAACAATAATATAATAAATGATTACTTTTACTTTAATGTGAATATTTATACAGAGTTGTGTGTACCCTGTAGTCCCTATAGTTTTTCTCCTGGTTTGGACACTTTCAAGTTTGCAAGATTTTTTTTACTATCCTGTCTAGTTTAACTTAATTTAGACAAGGTGCAAAGTAGGCTGAGTTGGGATGAGGGGTGAAAGTTCTTCCTTAATTGAACCTCAGATCAGTTGTATGTGTGTGTGTGGGGGGGGTCTTATTAGGAGCCTGAGAGGTCAGAGGTCATCTCACATGGTCAAGTAGGTAGAAGTCATTTAATTTTTATGGCCTGAGGGATTGTCGGGCAGAGTCATGTTGTGGCAGGATTTTGACATTCAAGGGATATTTATGGCACACAAGAACAGCTACAGCTAAAGTTGTATGATTTATATTTTTAAGATTAGTCACTCATCTAGAGAATTTATATAACAAAATATGAGAAAAACTGAGTGAAATCCACAGTTTTGTCTGTGTCTGGACAGTGATTAGACAGAGTTTAGGTGAGTTCTCAGTGCCTCTGGACTGTGGCCACACAGACAGTAATTGTTTATATAAACTTCTCTTCTTACATTTCAGTGTTGGCCTGTAAAAATCCATCCGCTATGCAGAGAGCCTGTGTCTGGACTGTCAGGTAATATCACTGTGATTGTAATTATGAATTACATATTTCTTTAATATCTTATGCATTTATTAATATTTAAATGTTAATGAATGTCTGTGTTTCTACTTTTATGTGACTGGCCCATTCTCATGACTAACCAGAAATCTAGCATCAGAACAGTATTACTTCATCATCAATGCCATTTTAGTAAAACTATCAGCAGTAACCACTTCTGTATGTTGTTCTGTGTGTGTTACAGTGCCTCTATGCTGCTGGTGTTGCTTTGGTCAGGCCCCCTGGTCTGCCAACACACAACAGACCACAGGAAGGTGAGCAGCAGTTACATAGTAGGTGGTACTGCTGGAAAACTGTTCAAACATGTGTGGTCTATCTGATATCCTCACTCTCATGATCACAGACCTCCCTAAAATATTTTTAGGATTGTTTTGTTTATGTTTCTTCTATCAGTCAATCACATGATTGGCACAGACAAGTGGAGCGCTCATCTCCAAAGCCAAATGCCACCCAAGTTATAGACTTTGCACCTTCTCCTGTACCATATGTGTAAACAGTGAACCTGATCTGGGTGCTAATCTGTTATGCTGTAATGAGAGAGAGTGAAAAGTTGTGTTTGCAATATGTCAGCTGTCAGCAATAACCTTTTGAACTTTGGAGCGACAGGATCCATTTGGAAGAAACTATTAGGTGCACTAAGTGTATGAAGCTGACTGTCTGATTGTGTATCCAGTCAGTTTGCATGGGGTTGCTGCAAGTCAGCTCCATGTGTTTCCACCTACAGTCCAGCTGTGTGACCTATGGCTGACCCAGGAAATGGCAGTGGCTTTGAGTTACAAAGACTGAAGCAGGGCAGAGGAGATGGGGGGAGGTCTGAGGTCTGAAAAGCTGCACAGGCTGATGGACAGCAGAAGAGCTTCCTGCCAATTCTCCTGACTGCTCTGTATTCAAACCACTAAAAGTCAAAAGCCAGAGAGGTTGTTGTGAATAGAGACAAAATGCTCTTTAAAGAGCAGGATTTCTACACAGCTCCACGGATAAAGCTGGCTTGGCACAGGATACCTGCTGGCAGATTCCTCAAACAGAGAGTGCAGTGATTGCTGCTAATACGTTCCTGGCAGAACTGCACAGAGGGATAGAGTCAACAGTGAGAAATGGAGGTAGCCAACGGGATAGGTCAGTGACAGACACCCACTAAACAGTGAAATCAGGCCTTTATATCTGTGAACAGAGGTCTGTTTCATGGTCAGTGGTGGGAGACGGAGAAGCAGGACAGTCATGTTGATGAGATGAGGTCACTGACTTGAGCTTTTATATTGGTGACATTAAAGTCTTATTGATGGGGGTTTTCCATCAGTCCTTGGCAACCTCATCTTATTACACTGTCCTGTTTCTTTGTGCTTGTGGAGTTGCTAATCATAGCTGTTTTGTATTTATACAGGTTCCTCAGAGGGCAGAGCCCCATCAGGAGATCAGGGGAGAGCAGGGAGAAATTCAGGGTTCCTGGGGTGCATGGGGGCCCTGGTCAGCCTGCTCCCGGACCTGTGGAAAAGGGGTACAAGGGCAGAGCAGGCCCTGTCTGCCTGTTTACACTCCATCCCATTACCCCTCTAGAAGAGGTGGTGTTCACCCCCAGCAACCGGGCCATGTCATTTCAGCCCTGAAGCCAGCAGTTCCTCGGCGACACAACTCAGGCAGGCCCTCCAACAGCAGCCGTCGTGGTCAGCTAAGGAGGGAGCCTCAGCCTAGTGGACAAAGGTACTGCTTCACTCATGGTGATAGTTTTGAAATCACTTTGCTTAGAACTTGAATAGACAGTGTGTCAGGATTCAGATGTGTGAGAAACGGGCAATAAAAGCATGGACAAGACTGCAAGAACCAACAGGTGACGAGGGGTCAATGACTGGTTTGGTGAGCATTAAAGGATAAGAATGGTCATTTTCTATATTAGTATACCAGTACATTAGACACTCCCCATACAGACACTATAACCAAATATAAGATGCCTTATAATTAATGACTTTCAATCTGTCAGAACTTCATTACTTTATTCATCTGTGTCATAGACCTCTAAATGAAGTGGTATTTCCTTATGGCACAGATGAATAAAGTAATCCAGGATTGACAGGCTCACAGATATTATTCATGACTAGAAGCAAATCATTGTTGGTTTTAGTCTTTGTATGGGGAGTGTTGAAAAAACTGTTAATATAGAAAATGATCGACCTTATCCTTCAAAGAAGTGTGAGTCAGAATCAGTTGCAATATTTTTCCCCTGTAGCATTGTGTAGTGGAATACAACCAATGTAGACTTTGGTACACCTCACATTGTTCCACTAACAAGAGTAGGATGTCAAAAAACCCTCTTTTTGCCTAGTTTGACTATGACATGTTATTACTCATGGGAGCACAGTAAACATGGCAAAGTGAAAGAGGATTCATGTTTCATTTTATTTTACTGAACGTGTAACCATCTGACTCTCACTCTCAGGTCAGGAGTGTTTTTTGTCAAGTAACACCGGTGGCTGGAGCATCATCCTGTACACTATATATGTAGACTCAACCACTTTCTTCCAACTGGGAATTGAAAAACAGACTGCTAACTTAACTGTTCCAGGTTCACTTTACAGTAATTCATAAAACAATTTTTTTTTACCTACATAAGCATTCACTGTTGATTCTGTCGGATGGTACAGTGAAGCTGGTCCCTGGTACCTTATTGATCACCTACTGTATATGTATGTACCTCACATAAGTCCTGAAACTGTTATTGAATGAGCTCTGTACGGAGAGGGACTCAGATGGCACCACACAAAGGCGTAGCCAAGATACTGGTTTATTTTACAGTTGAGACAAAGAAAGCACAGCTTAGCTCAACTGGTGATCAGTTCAGAGTTAACTGGGCGTCTGGAGAGAACGAGGGAGAATCAAGGTAAGAGGAGGGGAGTTACCGCACGAGGAGCCCAGCTGATGAATACGCAGGTCGGTGGAGCAGGGAGTGTAAGGAAGGCAGGAAGTTACAGATGCAGCAGGGGTGAAGATCAGTCACAGCAGCGGGTCTGCAGGAGGAGGTGTCTTGCTGGGGACGATAACAACTGACAAGAGGTGAATGTTGACAATGCAGGTAGTGCAGGTGGATGTTGCCTCACTGAATAAGGAGGACAGCAGAGGGGTGAAGGTAGGATAGATTGGACACAGCTGTGCTTCATCTACCAGTCCATTGGTTACCACATGAGTGAATGGAGGTGCCCGCTAAGGGGGCGGAGGTGCTGGTAGAGCTGGCTGGGGGAGTGGATGAACCAGAGGCACCGGCTGTGGACATAACAGTAAGACAGCTGTTGGTTAGTTTGACTGTCCAAAGTGCACTCTGCCATGTCTCTTGATCAAGGCACAGCAAGAATGTATGACTTTTTATGAATTTATGACTCTTTCATTGCCTAATCTAACAGAGTCACCACCGGGTGGGTAGAGCAGTCGTCTCCCATCCGGAGGGTCGGAGGTTCGAATCTCAGTGCCTGCAGTCCACATGTCAAAGTGTCCTTGGGCAAGATACTGAACCCCCAATTTGCCCCTGATGGTTAGAGCCATTGGCTGAGTTAGTGCTGCAGATAGCTGCCTCAGTTCTGTACCGGAAACAAATTCCTTGTGTGTAACATACTTGGCCCAATAAAGGTGATTATTACCACTAGAGGTATTCAAAAATTAAATCTGATCCAGACCCTAACATCTGATTAATGACGCTGGTTTCATCTATCCATCCATTATCTATACTGCTTATCCTAACAAGGGTGGGGTACACCCTGGACAGGCCGCTAGTCTATCACAGGGCCGACACATATAGACAGGCAACCACACATGCTCACACTCATTCCCACGAGCAATTTAGTCGCCAATCAACCTAAGCTCTTTAGACTGTGGGAGGAAGCCAGAGTACCCGGAAAGAACCCATGCAGGCACAGGGAGAACATGCAAGCTCTGTACAGAAAGGGCCCCGGGTCGAGGCAACAATGCTAACTGCTGTTCCACCATGCCACCCTGACACTGGTTTTCCCTTTTACTTTGTGGCTCCTAAGTAGCAAGCTACACTGCAAATATGTATGAACTACTTTGCCACTAGGTTCAATGGAACTAAAGATTATATTTTATATTGTAAAACAAAAGACAAATATAACTAATTTTACTATCATGGTGTTCAGTGAAGAACATTCAGCATTTTAGCTCTTGTCTTTGTTGAAAATTTCAAGTCCATAAAGAGCCTGTACTGCGGTGCTGCATGCTGAGCAGCCTGGTCTGAAAGTGACTCTTTCGAGCCATCACTGTGGACCATCTGACTGCCTTACGCTGGGGAGCTAGTCTTTTATAGATGGAGTCAAAAGCTTGGCTTGTGCTGGGCAGCTTTGTGAATTCCTTCCTGCTGTTCTCGCCTTTAAACAAATAGCAATGACAGTTGAGTAATGGGAGGGTTGTTTGAGTTGGAATCTAAGGAGCCAAATAACAAGAAAAGCTTCCTGAATTCTGCTACTGGGATCCTGGTGCGTCCCAAAAGTTCTTCTTTAGATTAAGTGCCTTAACAGTTTCCTCAGTCAAAGAGGACATTTAGCTAAAACATCCCCAATTTAAAAAAAGAAATCGATCCAAATATACTGGGTGGCATCTGTTATATATTCTGTGGTTGGTTTTAATTGGGTAGGTAGACAGTATTTTCCATAGTTAGAGAGATGATAGCAGAGACACATGTAGGTGTAGAAATGGTGGTCAGATGATAACTAGTACACAGTGTCATTGGTTTAATTGGTTATGTTCTCATGTTTGTCTTCAGGAGAGTTACTCACATCATGCCAGGGAGATACGGGTATGGCAGAGATCCTTATGTTGCTCCAGTGCAGACAGATACACGGCAGAGCACTGGGATGACTCGTTCCCACAAACGGACTCGCTCTCCTGCAACTGGTGCCCGCCACCACACCTCTAGAGGTGCCCGCAGGTCAAAGAATCAGGACCCTTCTAACATCAACCATCGCTACATTAATCCCAGAGCCCAGCCGCCCAAAAATAATGTCTGGGCCCCCCTCTACCAGCCCGGTTCAGCCAACCAGGCTGAGAACCATCAGGAACCACAATCAGGTGACCAGACCTCTGGACCCCAGCAGCACCAAGAGAGACCCTACAACCCCTTACCTTCTTCCTTCTGTTCAGGACAGCATGCTCACTACAGGATCTGCAGCAGTGAGGTATGCAGTCTTCTGTTATCTTATTAGCAGTATGTTGGCTAGTGATAGGCATTTCAAGGTTTCGTTGAGGCCCAATCACATAACTGATTTTGCTTATTACACTGATTTCTTTATTACTTTTATGTTGGTGGAAAAAAAGAGTCTTTATACAGTAAGGGGTTTTATACAATAGTGCATTAAGGTTTATTGCTGCACTGAGGAAAATGTGAACTATTATTGATAAGAATTTATACTTTATATAAAATCCACAAAAATGTAAGAAATGTTAGAAGAAGACAGGCTATAGAAATTAAAATGAATAAATTTCAGTGGTGTCTGGTTTTGTATATTGTCTCTGGTGTGTGGTGAAACATATATTCATGCAAAGCAATGCAGACCAGGGGCTTGTTTAGACAAAGGTGATATGGAGAGATGACAGGGAGGTTAGGTTTCACCAATGAGCCTTTATAAATAATGGAATCTAATTTGACAAGAAAGAATCAGCAACAAGCGGAGACTTAAACAGTTAGAAGAGATTTACTCCAGCTCTCGGTCAGTGGCTACAGAGCAGGACAGTGTTAATGATGAGCTTGCTGCAGTTACAGAAGGATTTACCTGTTGAAACTTGTGTCTTCATGGACAATAACTGTATGTGTGTATGGATGTGTCTGGTCCATCCCCAGGCCTGTCCCCAATCCAGCCTACACATCAGGGTTGTTCAGTGCTCTTCTTACAACAACCAACCTTTCATGGGCAGACTGTACGAATGGGAGCCTTTCAACGAGGGTAGGTTGTGTGTACTGTATGAATTTATGTATGTGTGTATTGTACACAATACAGCTAATGGAGAGTTCAAATTAACAAATAAGCACCTCAAGTTGTAGCAAAAATGTTTATATTAAAATCTCTAAATTATGGTAAATAGTTTAATGAAAAAAATTGCTGTTAACCTCTGCTAGCATACTCACAATGAAAATACAGTAGTAACATGCTTATGTTTAGCAAGTAATATCTACCATCTTAGTTTAGTGTACTAGAACACAAACATTGGCTAATTAGCATTTAACACAGAGTACAGCAGAGGCTGATGAGAAAATGTATTTTGACCTAGTGTAAAAAGGACTCTACAATTTTAAGTACACACACATTTCACAGTTCATCACATTTTCACAGTCATGTCTTTAGGTGCTATGAACTATATAAACTAAGGTGTGTTGTGATGTAAGGCCTTCAATACATACAGTATGTCACCTGTATATAGGCTCACAGATAAATCAACTGTATCCAGGCAACGGCCAATATGTGACAACACCAATGGAAATAATAATATCTTGTTAAACTGATGTGTAATTTGAGTTTGAGTCTGACTGATGGGTAAAGCATATGTAAAGATTCAATAACTCCAGGTAAATGAATAAATCTGTATAATCAGACACCCATCTTGAATAATGCTTCAACATACTCTTGTACATCTGTTTAAGTAATACCTGTATTTTTGGCTTATAGTGCACCTAATTAATAAAGCACCTGAACAAAACTGAAAGGCAAGGGATCAAGATACTGTTTTCTGTCATGAGACAAAACAGGGACTTCTGTTGAAATCTGAGCGCTAATTATGATTTGTGCCTGACAGAAAACAGCCAGAGGATAAGACACAAGCAGGCCTGCGTATTGGTTGTATTAGTACTGTAAGGCAATATAATTTTGCTTTGTGGCCTGCAGGAAGTGATTGCTAACCTTTTGGGAAATTCTTTTCTTTTTTTTCATTAATTAACAGCCTGTGCTTGAATGTTTTATTTTCTTCTACAGCACAAACATGTCTTTTTACAGTGTTCAGCTTTTTTCATATGTCACATAACATAACTCCTAAATATGTCATTTTAATTTGTCATGTGAAATTACTCTTATTTAGACATAAGAAGAATGTGCAGTATGGAAACATTTATACGCCACATGTAAAAATCATTTACCTATGTGCTGTCCATCATATATGTTTTATTGTCTTTTACATTAATCTGTTACTCTCCTATGTTTTACCACTGCATCCTTGAAGCCAACGTGTTGACAAAAAGACATGGATACATGTAACAATCTTTTAAATTTCCTCTCAGTTCCTGGGGATCAGCGTTGTGAACTCAACTGCCGGGCCATTGGGTTCAGGTTTTACGTGCGACAGTCAGACAGGGTGATTGATGGGACGCCTTGTGGACAGAATGATACCTTACTCTGTGTGGCGGGAAAGTGTACGGTAGGCCTTTTTTTAAATTTCGGCAAGAAAATTATTCAAGAGAGGTGATCATGCTACTGTAAGTGCTCATGCAGTTTTGTGTAGTTTTTGTGAGAGTGTTTTTAACTAATTCATTTGGTCACTACACAGCTTCATTGAGGCTGATGGCTGCCAAGGACCTATTAAGCTACAAGCTTTGTTAACTTGGGGATTTGAGCCAGAAGCCTTTTAGGCAAAAAGTAGTGGAGTGTTTGTGACCACCTGAAAATAAGAGGCACATGTTCTAATATCTTCTCTAACAAAGTTCATTAAACAAAAAGGCATAAAGGATGCAGAAATTATACTGTAATTGCCAGCCAAATTTGCATTAGATAGAGAATTAATTATCAAAATTAATAGTGGGCATCATAAATGAGCAGGTGATACAAATGCACTTTATTTGCTGCTATTTTTGAACATGGCTCATGTTTAAACATGAGTGATTTCTCTATTGGGTCACTCTACTGAATAATTACAATAAACCATGACATTGTCCTAACACTAACCCAGACTGAAGGTGTAATCTTAACCAGTCATGTTTAAGTACACATTACATGATTCTAAAAAGTATATACAGTAAAAACCGGGTCTGACATAGTGATGGCTGTGACCAGCAGAGGGCAGCACAGCGTTAGAGTAAGTTCTTCCTTAGTGATGTGGAGGAGTGAAGTCCGATGTAGGGCATAGTTGCATATTTCTTCTTGTTACCCTGTATTTAATACGCACTATGAAAACACAGTTGTGAGAGCTGCAGAGACATAAGATCCTATGTGAGCCTGCTTATGGCTGACTATGGATTTAATGTGCTGGATTCACTTAAACATTATTTTGATCTGGGTTTAACTGTATGTCAAAGTAGGAGCTCATTTCCAGTTGGTAATGCTGACCCTGCTCTGTCAAATCTGTGTATTTCCCATATGGTGTAATCCAGCGACCATATTTGCAACATTAAGATTTAACTAACATAGAAAAACCCCTGATCAATTATTTTTGCCCTTGAGCACATTTCTATTATTAATAGACAAGACACGGTGATCATTCACATGGGTAGGGTTGAATTATCATTAATAATGGAAACTGTAATTTATTTTTGTTGGCTAAGGTAAAAATGTAAACAACGTAAAACTAAAGTGCAATAAACTAAACAGTAGTTTATTGAAGCCCTTTGAATTAAAACACTATGTGGATCAGTAGGTATCTCACACACGCTACTGTACAAACTGGTGTCCACTGTCCCCAAGGCACTGTTACTGATATACTGCAGCAAGTTCAACCTGGAGCTTTGCCAGGGACTTTGATGCCTGTGATTCAGATCAGAGCCAAACCATAAAATAATTTCCATTTAATTATTCCAACAGAGTGAAACTAGCAGGTCAGAGCCTGTCCTTACATAGCACAGAGATACTGTCATCTTCTAGAAGCCCAAAACACATTGTTGACATTGCCAAAGAATGCACTATTTGTCCAGCTATGTATGGAGGAAAAATCATTATGTTGAATGTCTGCCATTTGTACAAATAGTTATTTGAACATCCTACTTCCAAATGAAACATGTGTGCCTTTGCCACAAAGTGATATACACAAGTCTCAGATACTGTAGAAGAAAGTCACTGTCGGCTTTTCCCATTTAGGGGTCACCGCAGCTAATCATCATACTGACGACTTGCATGTTGACATTTGGCACATGTTTTACACCGGATGCCCTTCCTGACGCAACCCTGATTCAAACTCGGGCCGCAGCAGTGAGAGCACTGCGCCTTAACCACTAGCCTACCAGGAATAGGCATACACTAGATCTCATATACTCGCTATTTTTTACCGGGTATATAACACCTTTTGAGTTAAACACTTGCCATGTAGTGTTACAATTATTAGCATTCACTAGATCTCATATACCCAGTATTTTTTACTGGGTATATAACACCTTTTGAGTTAGACACTTGCCATGTAGTGTTACAATTATTTTAGGTTCTTGTTTTATTGACTTTTATACAGTAAAATTAGGGATTGTTGATTGTTCTGTTATGTAGACACACCCTCAAGTCCTGTAAAGTCAAAGTACACCTGCTGTGTTTGTTATGGACCGAGGAGCTTTGCGCCATTGTATGTTTGCAGGAGTGTTTGTTAAGGCCATAAATATTCTGTGACAGTGGACTTACACCTTTATAGTGACACACACCTTTGTGCACACTTAAATTTCACATGCTACAAGATTTTCCATCCATCCATCTATTATCATCTGTTTATCCGGGATCGCATCACGGTGGCAGCAGGTTCAGTGAGGTAGTCCAAATGTCCCTCTCCCCGGCAATGTGTTCCAGCTCCTCAGATGGGATTCCGAGACATTCCCAGGCCAGACGAGATATATTCTTTCCAGTATTTTCTCAGTCTGCCCCTGGATGTCCCACCAGTTGGATGTGCCCTGAAAACCTGAAAAGGGAGGCACCCTGGAGGTGTCCTGATAAGATGCCCAAACCACCTCAACTGGCTCCTTTTGATGTGAAGGAGTAGCGCTTCTACACCATGTCCCTTCCGGATGTCCAAACTCCACACCATATCTCTAAGGGTATGTCTGGCCACCCTGCAAAGAAAACTAATTTCGGCCACTTGTATTCGCAATCTTGTTCTTTTGGTCATTACCCACAGCTCATGACTAGAGATGAAGGTTTGGAGCGCAGACTGAATGGTAAATTGGGAGTTTTGCCTTTCGGCTCAGCTCCTTCTTCACCACAACTGTCTGGGACAACATCTGCATTACTGTTGATGCTGCCTCTATCCACCTGTCAATCTCACGCTTGATTTTATCCTTGCTCATGAATAAGACCATGAGATATTTAAACTCCTTCACTTGGGGCAGCAATTCACTCCCAGCCCAGAGGGAGCAGTCTACTGCTTTCCAGCAGAGCACAATGGCATCAGATTGGAGGTGGTAACTCTCATCCCCGCTGCTTCACACTCAGGTGCAAATGACCCCAGTGCACGCTGGAGGTCATGGTCTGATGAAGCCAACAAAACCACATCATCAGTAAATAGCAGATATGCAATTCTAAGGTCCCCAAATAGGACACTCTTCTACCCCCAGCTGTACCTTGAGAGCCTATCCATGAAAATCACTAACAGGATCAGTGACAAGAAACAACCATGATGAAGGCCAACACCAACTGGGAAAGTGTTTGACCTCTTCTGAGTATACGGACACAACTCTCACTTTGGTTATTCAGGGACCCGGGGGCTCATACCAACAGTCCCGGTGTCCTATACTCCCGAAGTACTCCCGACAAGAGGAGTACTTCGGGAGGCCTTCACCAAGCTTACAAAACACATGGTTACTGGAGGGATCCCAGGATCCCTCCAATAACCTTGTAAAGGAAAAGAGTTCCATGACCTGGATGGAATCTGTTTGTTCCTCCTGAACCGTCCAAGGTTCAACAATTGGTTGGAGCCTCCTTTCCAGTACCCTGAGGCTGAGTAGTATGATACCGCAATGGAGCACTCTATCTGGTCCCCTTTTTTTACATATGGCAATCTCCACCCCAGTCTGCCAAGTCCCCAGGCACTGTCCCCATTCTCCATGCATCATTGAAGGTAAACAGCAACCAAAATAACCTTGGAAATCAACTGGACTTGGATTTCTAGATCGAAGACGTTTCACCTCTCATCCAAGAGGCTTCATCAGTTCTGACTGACTGGTGTTAAGTCGGAGATATTTATCCCCCTCGGTGTGTCCAACTATGACCAAGGCCTTCAGCATCTCAGGGTGAATCTCATCCACTCCTGGTGCCTTGCACTGGTGCCTTGCACAGGTGAAGGGTCCCATCCTTTTTCCCCACAAAATAAAATCCAGCCCCCAGAGGTGAAGAAGAAGGGTGGATTATTCCTGCCTGGAGGGAGTTCCTAATGTGGGTCTCCATGGCCTGTTGTTCCGGCCTGGAGATACTGTACAGCTTGCTGGAGGGCAGAGGAGCTCTGGGGAGGAGGTTGATGGGGCAACACCTCCTCTAGGTCATCATAGGTCTGGGGCACCTTGGTCAGGTCAGGGGGCTCAGGCACTGGGGCAGGTGGTGAGCTCCCCAAGGGAAGCTGGGCAGATCCAAGCCAGGTGGAAGGACAGAGCAGGCTCCATTTGACCACACCCCAGCAGCCCAGTCTATTTGTGGGTTGTGGCGTTTTAAACAGGTGTAGCTTAGGACGAGAGGTGAATTAGGGGAGTTCAGGACAATAAGGCGAAACTGTTCACATTGATTCCCCGACAGGATGAGTGTGACCGGGTGCGTCTGCTGAGTAACTCGTGCGAGGAGTTGGCCGTCTAGGGCGTTGGCCACCAGCGGACGATTGAGTGGTTTTAGAGGCAGGTTGAGCTGGGCGGCTAGATCCTCATCGATGAAGCTATAGTCAGCTCCAGAATCAATCAGGGTGTGTAAGGTGATGGAGTCCTGTCCAAAGAATAACGTGGCAGGGAGACAGAGACTGGTTATCTTTTGGCTCGGGGTTGACAATGACCCTTGACCCTGGTGCCACCACAGACCTCCATCTCACATTTTTGAATCTGACACAGTGACACCCTCTAAACTATCAACCTGCTAGTGACACCACATGAAAAAAATCAGGGAAACATCAACATCAGCTGGATTTGTCCTTTGGACTACATGTACAGAATTTTGTGGCAGTCCATCTTATAGCTGTTGATATTTCAGCTTGGACCAAAGTTGTGGACTGATCAACCATCCCTTAAAAGCTGAGTAATGGTGTTTCAGAAACCTTCTTTTCATTGGCAGAGCATTGTCCTGTAGGATAACCTTTTGTTCGTTGTGGGAACTCCCAATCATCCAACACTTACACTAGATAAAGCTAACTAATCTGCCCACCAAAATAGTATTTTATGATGCAAATATGTTGTTTAAACAGTTACATTTCCAAAGACCACAACTGTAATATAATGCAAGCTGTTCCCTGAATTTATTGAATTTTATGTAATTGCCTCT